ATTTCTGACAGATCGTTATATGCCCATTTGCATCTTCAGCTTCAGCACTGCCTCTCTGCCTAGAATCTAAATTTTAAGATATCGTCCTGAAGTGACACTGAGAAATTTTACTACCAGTATGTCGGCTTACTTACTGGTCTTTATTTTTATCTTTCTTTCCCTTCCTAAACTCTAGTCTCTGTTGCGTATCTTACCATCAATAATAGAGCATTATCTGCAGCCTTTTTGATTTCGCCCCTAGTTTTTCTGCAGTGGTGATTTTAAGGCTAATTCCTCTGAATCACTCTCATTTGTTGCTAAAAGCATTTCCCTTAGTACTGTTTGGATGCCAGGTGAGAGGCTCACCTCTCAATGGCCAATAGATCTGCATTATTTTTAGCTGTCTGTCACCTGCTGAGCTGTCATAGGAGCTGGTGATTTATTGTATATACTTGACTATAAGTCTACCTCATGTATAAGTCGAGGGCAGGTTATGGGGCCAAAATTATGGATTTTGATATGACCTAAGGATGAGTTGATGGTAAAACTTAGGGGCATGCAACAAAGGATCTAAACGATGAAACAAAAGAAAATTATGCCAAAAAACCCTACAAAATTCTGGCAGGCATAACTGTTTGTTCTAAAAGATGGATGGATGAGAGGGTGTGTGTGTGTCAGTGCTCTTGCCTATCACCAGAGGATGGTTCCCTTTTCTTATGAATTAAAGTACAGTATTTACATTGACCCATGTATAAGTTGACCCAGGTTTTTGGGGTCAATTTTTTTGACTGAAATTTCTAAACTTATATATGAGTATATACACTATTTAAATTGTCTTCCACTTGCTTTTAATTTTTGTCAGACAGTATTTATAGATCAATAGTTACCACTCATAATCAAGTATTTTTTTCTTTTTCTTTAAAAAATTCATTTGCCATTTCTATAAATAATGATAGTGTAGACAGAATAAAAGGAATGAGAAAAATTGAAAAACACAACTTGTTGGCAAGGTAGGAAATTAAAAACTGGAAGAGAGAGGAGTCAATGTTCCTAACTGGAAAAAAATTTAGATGCTGCCTTGAGCTGATGGTGCATGGGGCTAAACCCATATGTCAAGGATTGTTCCTTCATTCATCCACAGAATGAACAGTCAGCAATTATCAGTAAAATAATTATTTTGTTTCAAAGATCTTAAAGTTTTTAATGCGTACAAAAACTGAAAAAAAAAAGTCTTTTAGAAGTTTACTGATAAAACAACCACCATATTTTCCAGCATATAAGATGACCCGCGTATAAGACGACCCCCCATTTTTCCAGTCAAAATATAGAGTTTCAGCACCTCCATCCTCCTTATCCTTATACCCGGCGTATAAGACAACCCCCCCCACTTTAACCATAGATTTTGCAGGTTAAAAAGTAGTCTTATACGCAGGAAAATAAGGTATATCTGAAAGGGCAAGTATTTCATAATAGTATATTAAAAAGATATGTAGAGTGTAATCAATAAAAATAAATGTATGAATTTACAGCTAGGGTAAGGAAAGGGACTGAATATGACAAGAATAATCTAGTAAAATTTTGCTATAGAATTGCAAGCATAAAGATCAATTGTATATGGTCACTATGCAATAGTAAATCTATATGAAAAATATCAAGTTTTTAAAACCATCTTTCTGGATCACACCAAGAAAAAATCCTCTACTTTTTGCAATTCTATATCCAATATTACTCCACTCTCAACGTTTAACAAAATTATATGAAGGAAAAGAATGAATATAAAGGGAGTAACAATATACCTAAAAGAAATTAACAATATAAAACTCAGCCCCATTATATCTGCAGGACCACACATATGAATATAGAAATGGATATACTGTACTACTTATACACTGTACCAAAAAATACAGGAGGACATTCCCCCTCATTCAATACTAACCTACACTGAGAAGAGCTTCTATAAATTCTTCTGTCACAATAGGAAGAGGAAGTCGAAATATATCATAAAGAACTTCAAGCAGCCCTCTCTATGAACATAAAAGGGTTAAGATTACAAAAATCAGAAGAAAGCTAAGAATCTTTGCTGAGCATATGGTTTCAAAATGTTAATATGCATGAACATGCAACTAAAAGACTTCCCACACTGGCTACAATTTTTACAATAGCTTATGTTCCCTCTTAAATCTCAAATCCACATTTGTTTACAAACATATTTACTTTATTTACAATAATTAAAATGTTTGTGGTCATTAGTTAAGGATCTTTTGAAATAAAATACCCTTTGATATCACAAATGTACAGGTACAGTGTGATTGTTGAAAGGACTACCATTATGCTGAACAGATACACTTCAACCATGCAGATCCTTGGCCCAAGATGCCACTGGGTAGGCACACATGCTAGAAAGTTATAGACTTCAACCTCAAATAACATACACAGGCTTGAGATATAAAAATGGAATACCCAATCCCCCTCATAGCCTGTTGTAATCAGCATATACATGCCAAAGACACAGAAGATGGAAAACTAGGCTCAACTGAATGAGACAGTGATCAACATCATGTAGGCAAGCACCAAGGCTATATTGGAGTATCTAAAGTTTTTAAACTCTAATGTATAATAGTTAAAACAATAGTGAATGATAATGCCTTAAACTAAATTTAGTGTACTCAGTCACAAGAAGTAACTGTGCATTCGGGCAACAACAACAGAATTGCCCAAGGGCCACCATGTACAGTCTGACACTCACTCAAAAACATACTATACAGATGCCAAAGAAAAACAAAATTCATACATCTCCTTACAAAAGTATCAGAAGAACTGAGAACTACCAAGACTGACAAGTATTCCCGTAGAAATCACATACCCGTATTTCCATGTTAGGTATACAAAGCACTCCAATAAGAGATTGGATCCCAGAATTCCCAGGCTTGCATAAACTAATAATACCTAAAATCAAAATGAAATGCAGAGTTACATAACAGCACACTGATAAAATTACTCATATGCAAATATCAGACTTACAATATGTCAATCTCCGCATGGCCTTTTTTTTTTAGCTACAAGGATATTTAATGGGAAACTTGCCACATATAGTTAAGTACCACTGATTCAAAAATGATCTGTCATGAGGATTTATATGGTCATGACCAAAAGTGTTTTTTTATCATAGGAGCAGTACAAGAGGGCAGCTCAAGATTTGAGTAAGAATTTATCTTTGTCTGGAAGTAAAAAACAATCTTGTCAAGGGTGACACTAATGAAAAAAATATCGGAATGCTAACTAGACAACATTTTGGGCCAGTTATTTTATTCCAACACTCTCTTTTCAACCTGTTTTCACTGGTGTCCTCAATCACTGGGAATGCCCCTATGAGCTTTGGCTTGTAAGAATGGCATAGCTGTTCCTAGAAAAGGACATTGTGAATATTGTGATCAATGCATTGGTAAACTCAAGACTGGATTACTATACTTTAAGCTTCTAAGTTGGTCCCTGAGACTGCTGCAGAAATGTCACAGGCAGGCTGGTAATGGAAGTGGCTCATTGTCAACATATTACATCCAAGCTGAGTGGACTGCATTAGCTGCCTATGTGCTACTAGGCCAGGTTTAAGATTTTGGTACTGTGAAACAACATCAGATGGGTCCATAACTGGTTGAAAAAACATGCTCAAAGAGTTGTCATCAGTGATTCTGTCTTGGGACTGATGCTCTTCAATATTTTTATCAATAATTCAGATGATGGGGTGGAAGGAATCCTTATCAAATTTGTAGATGATGCAAAACTGGAAGGAGCCGCTAACACAACATGGGAATTCAAAAGGACCTTTATTAAACTAGAAAACTGGATTGAAATTACTAAAATGAAATTCAACAGAGACAAATCCAAAATTCTACATTTAGACCACAAAACCCAAATGCATAAGAATAGTGGATACTTGGCTCAGCAGTACTACATATGAAAAGGAACTTGGGATCATTGTTGATCGTAAGTTGAACATGAGTCAGCAATGTGATGCTGTAGCAAAGAAGGCAAATGCTATCTTAGCCTGCATTAATAGAAGCATGGTTTCCAAGTTAAGGAAAGCAACAATCACATTATATTCTTTGCTGGTCAGGAGGCCTCAGAGAGTAGAATTAGGTCTAATGGTTTTCAGTTACATTAGGGTAGATTTTTATTGAACATTAGAAGGAACTTCATGACAGTGAGATTGGTTCAGCAATGGAACCTACTGCCTACAGTAGTGATGAAGAAAAGCAGGGAGAGATATGTGACAATGTGTCTCACAAACTATTGGTGTCAGAGCTTTAGCTGCATAGGAAGGAGAGCTGGTGGGATGACAAGGCATCATAGAAATAAAATAGAGAACAAAAATAAAGTTTTAAAATAAACAAGTCAGTTTATACAATGTCTGTTGCTGTGCCAGTTTGGAATAGTAAGCAAGAATCATTCCATTTAATATCTTGTGCAAGTTCTGAAAGAATTATCTTACCTGCCCATGAACGAAATGCTGCCACAATTCCCATTTTACTAGCGGAGAGCCGTGCTTCTCGGTCTTCTCTGTTTGGAGAATGAGATTGTGAAATGAGATAGCTACTTTGGTCCAAAGCAGAATAATACCTTAAAGCTTACTAAAATCTGACTAATGATGACTGTACTTACTTGAGCTGTCCCTCTGCAGTGTCAGGATTATGCCTGTAGTGAAAGTCTGTATATGGAGCTAAAATCCGCTAAAAGACATAAGAAAAAAATGCACTTATTCCTACTAGCACCATACATTTTTATTCCTATGCACTTGAAAAGCTTTTGAAAAGAATACAGTTTCTTCCTATTAGGTGCCTGGATTTCTGCCTGTTTGCCATCTTCACTTTTTAAGAAAACTGACACAAAATAAAGACAATACTGAAGGGTGATAAATTGAAAACATATATACTATCAACCAAAGTACAAAACACCTCTTTTACCCAGTTATGAAATATGCTGGTGGCCAACTATACTGTGAATATGTTTCTCTATGTTTGAAAGCCAGCGTAATGTAGTGGTTTGAATGTTTGACTGTGACTCTGGAAACAAGGGTTCGATTCCCAACTCAGCCATGAAACCCATTGGGTGAAATTGGGCAAGTCACATGCTCTCAACCTCAGAAGGTAATGGCAAACCTCCTCTGAAGAAATCCTGTCTAGAAAACCCCATGATAGATTCATCTTAGGGTTGTCGTAAGTCAGAAACAACTTGAATGCTTTTGTTGTTGGTTGTTGTGTGCCTTCAAGTCGTTTCTGATTTATGGCTACCCTAAGGTGAACTTATCGTGGGATTTTCTTAGCAAGTTTCTTTAGAGGTTTCCCACTACCATCTCTGAGGTTAAGAGAGTATGACTCCCAAATGGTCATCCAATGGATTTGCATGGCTGAGTCAGACTATGAGTCCAGAGTCATAGTCCAACGCTCAGACCACTATACCACGCTGGTTCTCAACTTGAAGGCACACAGCAACAAAGAACAATAGGTATTTGGACTGTTGGTCAACAAAATCATTTCATTAGTAAATAGCAACAGCGTAACATTTACATTTCTAGACCACTTCATAGTGAACTAAGCACTCTCTAAGCTGTTTACAATGTGTAAACCTATTGCCCCAAAAAGCTGGGTACTGATTTTATTGACCTATGAAAGGAAAGAGGGCCAAGTCAACACTGGAGCCCTGGGACTGAACTCAGAATGTTGTGGCTGCAGTACCAGCATTTAACCACTGTACCACCAGGGCTCCAGTAAAGGGGAAACACAGAAAAGGATCAATACTATAAGCCTGTCTCTGAGCAAACTTTGTGAATCCAACTGTCAACAGTTAGACACTGAATTGGCAACCATACATGTATGTGTTACTTTTAATTTAATTATTTTATACTAGCTTTTGTTAAGCAAACACTTTTTTATTAAACAAACACTTAATAGTGAGCATGATAGAGACTAGATTCAGATTATGAACACAGATGTATAATGGCAAAGTTTTGTTAATAAAGGAGATGTTCTCCTGGATATTTCATCTTTAACAGAAAATTTAGTACCAGATACAGAAATAACAAGGAAAAAGTAAGGTTAGGTGCACGCACCACAAAGAACATCATCAGTATGTTGTAGCAAACCCAAAACCCTTTCTTCAATACTACCAATATGTCCATGTGAAATGAAACAATAAGGTCAGGTAAGCCTCATATAAGTAAACAAAAACTTTCTGAATATTCTACTGACCACTTGAAAGCTACTTCCAAAATATATACAAGGATTAATATTTTCTTCATCAGTCTATTTTTCTTGTGATTTCTGTTTTGCAGTTCAGATTTATAGATCTATGCTTTTGTGACATGACTAGAACTTTCTGTTGAGGCAAGCTTTTATGTTTTCCCTTTTTTCTCTATTTTGCTAATCACTCAAACTAGTAATATTCTGGAGGCAGTTGCTATTTATCTTGCCTGTTGTAGACTGGCACAAAATGCTACTATTGGATCGCCTACAGTAGAATCCAAGCCCAAGTTTCATTTATTGAACTGTTTTGGCTGTGACCCAAAACCAAAAGATTCAGTGTATATGAAATTGGAGTTAAATTTCAGTGCGCTGAATATGAATGATGGATGCTGGATGATGTAACACATGGGAAAGGTTGCAGCATGGTGACAAACATGGAATGTCATCATCGCACCATGTAAGATACATGCAGGATGACAAAGAGGACACGATACAAGAGGCTGATGCAAGAGGACTTTTACAGACACCTATGTGAGAAGATCACGCTAGGGACAAAATGAATAAATATGGGTGTGGCCTATGTTCAGTGTGGGTTGCTGTTGTTAGTGGATGATTGGCTGTAGAGTTGTTGGATTGTACATAGTGCTGTAAATACTCTGTTGTAAAGTTCTGTACATAGAATTTGGAGACTCTGGGTTATTATTTAGCACCTTGTTCAGTTATAACTGCTGACAGCACTTCCAAGCCCAGCAGAGAAGGACCATAGGTACTGCATGGCTCTGACAAAAAGTCTGTGTTTCTTCAGCCTTCTTTGACTGTCCTCTCAGTTCTGTTGCTGCTTTAAAAAATTCAACTAGACAGAGGATGATAAATGAAAGAAGCAATTATGTGGGCATAAAAAAACTTTGTAAAAGGGAGCTTCTTGGTCAGAGCTTTGTTATGCCTATATAAACTCAAGCTTTCTTCTGTTAGAATCTGCAGTACTGTTTCATTTTTGCTATGGACCATTTTTTCAACCTATCTTTCAAAGCCCTTGAAATTCAAATTTAAAGACATGGACAGGATTCATATTCACATATGAACCAAGGGACCTTGGTTGAAAAACCCTACTCTAACCTATCAATGTATCAACTAGGCACTGATAAGTAACATGAGGATACATATATAGTACTTCACATGAATTAAATGCATACAACTCTCTTTTTGATCTGAAATGAGCAAATGTAGAAACAATATGAATGGAGAAAAGGAAGTTCTTACCTCTAATTCTACATCAGCTCGCACATACTGTCGAGTCTTTGGATGATTGAGAAGATGTAAGACTGTAGTTATGAGGGCCTCGTTTATACGGCTTAACTGGCAATCAATCACATTTTTTAAAATGGTACTTAATCCACCTCGAAGTGCAACTATTTCTGGATTCTGAATTGCTGAAAGAGAATGAGTCATTTAATGAGGGCATGTAACATGATCATCCACTTTTCTAGAACTAAGATCTACTTTATATCTATATACTACATTACACAAAAATATCACATCAATAAAGAGCAAAAATTGTAGTTTCCACACTTTCATTTAAAATACATTCTATATTTATTTTCTTAGACACTGATACAGGTTTTATAAGTCCCCTATATTTTCCCAGGTATATAGTCATCTCACTATACAGACACACAAACATAGCAAGAGATTCTTTACACACACCTGGTTCAATACAATGAACAAATGAATGGAAACTTTTACCCTGCTAATACATATTTACCCTGAATAGTTTTTAAATATTCTTTTAAAAACAACACAATCCTACATGTTTATTTCAGATTGGCCATACTGTGTTCAGTGAAGTTTACCTCCAAGTAATTAAGAACAGGATTGCATTTTGAATCTATCTATGCCAGAGATTGTTAAAGATAGTTTTAGCCAATATATGGTTTGAACCAAGCAAACTGATTTTGAGTGCCCAAGTGGGTGAACCAAATGCGTTAGCACAACTTGAAAATTAGCCATATGGACTGTGCAAAATTCTTACCTAGTTCACAGATAATAGCAATACACGCTCGAACCATCCTGTCCCTTTCTTGAAGGCCATCATTTCCAACAGCTATCAAAGAATTTGTAACAGAACTAGGAAATATTGAAGCATTCACAGTGATCATCTGGAAAGAAAAGTAGGGGAAAATGTTGTGTTTTTCCAGCAATGTCTTAAGAATCCATGCTTGCACAATACAATAAGATTATGGAACCACCTTAATGATTTTTTTATATCAAACTCTTCTTCCCTCCATCCTTAAGACTTTTTGGCTCAAAGCTCTTTTCTTCCACCTGCAAATTCTTAATTAATTTTGGTTTTACAGTAGTGCATAAGATAGGCTTATGTTTTGCCTACCAAAGTAAGAACCCATGGTAAGAGAAAAGAACTATTGTTAAACCATGTGGAACAATTTCTGACTTTGCTCAATTTGTTTACAGAAGTTGGGACACAGCAGATAAGCAATCACAGGTTGCTTCTAAAGCTGATGCCCATCAGTAGATACTCCTGAAATGTTCTCAAGGAATAAACTGTGTGGCAAAAGTGGGAACATAGATTTGTACATAGCACTAAATATGACTTAATGCCATGCAGTTTGTGACTGTACTCATTCAAGTTTTCCATGACAGTACACAAGCACAATAGTTAAGGAGATGGCTCACGTCAAAATGTCTTTATCATTTTTACCTTGTAAAAGGTGAGTTTATATGGTCTTAAGAGAAATCAGATACAGTATCACTTTGAATATAACTGGTATTATTAATGTATTAAAATATTTATATTTCACTTTTTATCATGAGATTTCAGGGCAACGTAAAAAAATAACATAAGCAACTTAAAATAATTCCAGATTAAGTCAGGAAAAAACATATCAAACATGACAACAAGTTATAAGTTTAAAAAGTTGCAAGAATTAAAAGCTATATAGGCATATGCATTTAGAGTAAATCAAACCAAGAGGATTTAAACATCCATGTCTTGATATGGTGCCAGAAAAAAACCAATGTTGCTGCTAATCAGGCCTCCAAGAGGAGGGCATTCCACAGTTGGACAGCAAGAACTAAGAAGGTGCTCTCTCATCTTCTCCAGCTTCAAAAGCTAGGCATGGTGAAGAGGAGCTCTTATCTGGAGGAAAGACAACCAGGGAATACCAAAGTTTCCAAGTAGGGCTATGAAAAAAATCCTGACTGGAATTCTAAAGCTATTGCCTTCAAGAGCTTCTGTAATCATCTAGGGATCTACCAGCAGATTCCAATCTATCTCTGTCCATCTCTGGGCAAGAGCAAGAGCAGGCTGTCAGACCATCTCCACACATGCTTAGCCTTTTACCATCTAAATTTGTCCATCACAGATAGAAATTTAGATTTAAATTAGTACTAGTTTTAAAAGGATAGCATTTTAAAAAGGCACCGAACTTTAAAAAGCTCAGATTACAAAATAAAACAAAGTTTACACAATGACAGTTCAGATTTTGTTTAAAACACTTGCTGTTTAAAATTCCAAGATGATTGTTTTCACTTGACAACAAAAATACAAGAAAAATGGTGTGGTTGTTGGTTTTCTGTTGTCAGTTGAAAATGTTTTGCAAGTTTCTTCAGAAGGGCATTGGACAGACAGACCCTTTCAAGAAGGCCCTCATACTATCAGCTATCTGCCTTACTTCTACTTGAGGGCATGCTTCAGTTAACAAAACCTCTGAGAAAGCTCCTTTTTATAAAGTTTTTTTTAATATAGATATACTAAGCCAGCCTTGCCGCCTTTTCCTCCTTGTCCTTTGACTAGTTAGATTTTTTAGCATTAGTATAGGGAAGATGATAAAGAAGGG